GGGGGGGGGCGGGGGGAGAAATACCTGTATGCAGGTGTATCCTGTTCCCCATCCTGGGGTCAAAAAAAGTTGAGCAGCTTCTTATCCAGATTGATACAATAGCTTAGTACCCATGAATTCAGAGGAAGGGATTTTTACTTTATTATTTCAAGCAGGAAGGAAGGTTGGTACCAGGCATGAGAAACTGAACAGATTCATACATCGTTAAAAGTTTTGCCTGCCAAATCGTGTCTTAACGGATTATGCCTGCTTGATTCATACCACACCACAAGTTTCATTGCCCTGTGGTAATGTTTGACCATTACCTGTTCAACCCAGTCTATTATCAAAAGGTCTTTCAATAGTAGAAACTTCCCTTCAAGAAAGGAATGAAAGGTCTATTCATACTTAGTTCAAGAAAGCTCAGTAACTGCCCAACATTAGAATCAGTCCAGAGAGCTTTTCAAACCCTTGTCCCTGAATACAAAAATCAACCTGAGCAAATCAAGATTACACTGTTTACTTAGAACAGATTTCATATTTAAAAAAAGAAAAAAAGCTTTTCAGAAGCATGTCATCTGATCAGCTCATCATCCTCACAACTCAACTATAGCACCTGAACTGCTTGGTCACATAGCTTTGTGAAATTTTTTAACACTTTAAACATCTTAACTAGAAGTCTTCCAGTGTGGCTGGAGCTTGTATACAGACTAAATACAGACTGAACATTTCTATGAGAAAGTTCTAGATCCAGTGTTTGTCACAAAATCATATTTGCTGTTCCTATCATTCAAGACCTCATCTCAGATACTTCCAGAAAGAACTTAAGGACACATTGCATTTCCACGCCTCATCTTTGCTTCTGAGACATTTCAAGTATATTGAAATGTTCATGAACCTAGTTCCTGGGACACAGTGCATTGTCCTTTCTTACAACCACAAAAAGCACCTTATTCATGTAGCTGGCATGCAGTAATGTAATGTTAATACAGTGTACTAAATAACAAACAGCAGGAGTCAAGCTCTAGCCTTTTCTGCAGGGAGAGGGCTGAGGTAGGAGAGATGCTTTCAGAATTATGTTAACTTTCTCTTCACTTTTCAGAATTTAACAAATTAGTGAACTAATTGGGTAAAAGAAAAGGTTGTCTCAACATCCCTGAAAGGCTTTATTCTAGATCAGACACTTTGGGAATAGATAGTTCTTCATGGGAACCATGTTGAAAACTGGTCAACAGGAACTGCCCCATTTTTTTCTTTCAGGAAAGGAAGAACTTGGGAGTGCATAGCAGAGGTTTTCAAATGAAGACCTCTCTAGGGCTTTCAAATTATGTGCTTCCTTCCTGCAATGTACACCTTTCTGCCATTCCCACTAGTTCTCAAAACCTAGCTCTCAACTACTTGTTCTAATCTGAACGATCTATTTTATACTCTTGGTAGCCGTCTCTTCTATGCAATCATCTTCTGTTTCTCTAGACTGACAGATGGCAGATTCTTTAAAACATAAGCATAAGCCTTTCCTAGAAGTCAGAGAGGTCCTTCATGAAACTTAAATTTTGTGATCACAACCGTGATGGTACCTCTGTTAGATCTAACATGGTTATAGTCTTTATATCACATATAAAAAAGACAGGTTTCTTAATTACAACCCATTTGGCCCTATTTATAAGTAGATTTCAGGCTTGGAAGGAAATCCACCATTCCCATTTTTAATGTATTTGGGATGATAATGAGTCTATACCTTCATTTTATCCCTGGAGCTGTATCGGGCTTTCATATGAATCAATGACAATTTATTTTTCTTCAAAGTTTCATTCACTGGTGGGAGGAAATGAATTAACATACTTTAAATGATAAAGCATATATTTTTACTGTCTCAGTTTGAAACAAGTCATGTGCAAATTGAATACAAGTCATACTGTTTGTAGCCTATCATAACAAATCGAAGTGAAATATAATACTGGTATAGAGATTTTCTTAACAGACTTCCAGTTGCATTAAAACAGGACATAGCAAGAACATTGTTCTTTCAACCAGAATCAGCTGAGCTACCTACAAACCTGCTCCATTAGCAAACTAGCTTATTACTGGTTAATACCAGTAGCAGATATTCTCAGGTCAGCCACGTAGGACTTTGCTAATTTATTATCCATTATTCTAAAGGCTTATAGGTCACTTGCTCAATTTGACCAAGTAATACTAAAATGCTTCATCAGAAGAAACAATATTGAATCCTTTGAGTGAGAAACACATGTGCTGGTACCCAAGGAAGAAAGAATGGTTAGTTATACTATAGTAATTGTGATTCTTCTGGATGTTCTGCATATGATATTCTGTAATTAAAGCTGCTTCACTTTAGTTCAATGTCATTTGGACTCTGAATAATGAAGTAAATTAATGCTCTTTGGCACTGCTGCTTTTCATAATACTGTGACAAAACACAAAGATGGGAAAGTGCATGCCTGGGCCACCAGGCAAAGCCACTGAAAACTCTCACAACTTTTTTGCAGAAGAATACCAAGACGGAACTATCTAAAGATGAGTTTACAAACTACACTTTAAAAAAATTCCCTTCACTCACCCTCCCTTTTTCACAAATACATTTAATTGAAAGTATTGGTTTAAAATATAAACTGTTCACACAAAATTATCATCTGTTTCAAATCAACACCAATGTTCCTAACAGTTAAGTAACATGTTTCTCACAGTTCAAATTTAGATAAAAATACATTTTATGTTAGTTGATGATAGTGATCAGGTGAGATACGGGAGGAACAAGTATGATTAAAGTGAGGTGAAAGAGACAAGATCATAATGTCTGCTATAGGCTTTGGCTAAAAGTGTAGCTTTTTGCTTATGGGTATGTTTCCTTGAATTTAGCTATTTTGTTTAATTTTGTTCTTTTTTTTTTTTCCGTTTGGGCAATTGTGTTAACTCTTTATTTGATTCCCACTAATTTCTGTTGCTTAAATAATAATGTAGTAGTGGAGGTTACATTTTCATAGCATTTTGAGTCGTTACTTTGTGAGCTATTCCCTGAACTAGTCTAAACTGGCATAACTCCACTGATGGAAATGGATTTCAGCCACACAGCCATCTATCATAAATCTATTTGCCAAAGTAAATAAGTCAGTAGAGTTCCTAGTAGGAACAGCATATTCTTCATTTCTGTCAACCAGCTGTAGTACTATAGGTATGTACATTCTTCATATTTTTATTTGAATGTTCTTCATTTGTTTCTTCATAGTTTTCTTCACACACATACAAACAAAATAAATGCCAGAGTAATGCGTGATATACGGAAATGTAAGATAAATCCTTTCAGTGCTGTCTCCCCTTATAGCCTTCATCATAACCTTCCCATATCCCAGACTCAGTTTATTAGGTGCTTGAAACTGAAAACAGAGCTCTAAAACCTTAGAAAGCACAGTATAACAACATTTCAGTGGTATACAAAAGGTATAGCCTTTTCTTGGCTATAAAAAAAAGTAGGAAAGGTGTCTATAATTTATTAAATAATTTTCCTAACTCAACTTTAGTTTTATACAGATGCATAGAACTCATTACTGTTGTGTAATTGTACTGCAGGAGTCTGTATACTACGCAGAACATACTTAGCGAATAGAGATGAAATTAATTCTAAGATTTTGAAAAGACTAACAGATGAAGCATTACAAAAGAAAGAAGAAGAAGCATTACAAAAGAAAGAAGAAGAAGAAGTAAGGTAAAATATTCCAGCTATCTGAATGTATAAAATGAGCGCAAGAAAATTGTAACCTTACTTTGTGTTAAAGGTATCAGTGCATTTATCAACGCAAATGTACTAAAACAGTACACTAAGACTAGTTGTGATGTACAGGAAATAATCAAATATTTGTTATCTTTGAGGAATATCTCATTTAGATCAGTAAATATGGTGGCAGAAGATTCTCTTGCTAAATGCATTTTCATTAGCCTTTCATTAGTCCAGCCGTTTGATACAATGAGACGATAACATTTTAGATGATAAAATATATTTGATTTTTATTTTGTAGAACCCAAATTATATTTCAGTTCCCAACAGTATATTTCCACAACTTTACTTTACATTTAATATATCTGCAGCTTGCCTCAGTAGTATTTATATAAGTCTTAAGATGAATAATCTTTTACTTACAGAAGAGAAATGCAAGAAATACTGACATCAGAGGAAGATCAATCTCTAGAGGCTGCTGAGGAGAAAGGTGAAAGTGTGTATCATTTGACTTCTATTTTATCTAATTATGTGTTTCAAATAATTTAGTAATTTGTTTTTTATGCAGATTTTACATTTTTTATTTCCTTTTTACATTCAGCATCTAGAAAAATAACTTTATATTACTACCTTTGCTTCCTTTACTGATTCATGCACTCATTTCTATGTGTCATTCTCAATGGATGTTAGAGAATAGAGATGTGTATTAAATCAGCCAGCACAGTTACGGTTTTCAATAAATCCAAAGGACAGGACTCTCTATCTCCTCTAGTAACTTTTCTAAGGGGTTATTAACTGTACTGAAACTTCCTACTCATCACAAAATCCGTATCCCCTCACAAGTTAGAAAACATTGCTAGAACTTAGCCAATAGCTAATAAGAAAATCGCAAATAAGAAAATCGCAAAACTGTCTGATTTTCTGTTCTTCCTCCAAGAAGCTCAGCCTGAAGCAATTAAAGAGGAATGGAAATTATTTCAGGAGTGGCTCTCTTAACCTGCATTAAGAATTGCTGAATCCGGTAGCAACATACCTTATGAATTGTTGAATCCAGTAGCCCAGTAGAGGTGAGGCTGCTGCAGCTTCATGTCCCCGGGACCATGCAGTAATGAGTCTGAGCATGTATTCCCATTTCCCCTTTCATCCGCTTCTTACTCTATTATCCATGCTTGTTCCTCCCCAATCCACTTTGGTCCTTCCTTCTCCTTGCCTTTGGTCCTTCTCAGAAATGCCTCATAATATTATAAGTCTCTCACAATCCCAAACTGCTTTTCCTGGCATCCCCTAATGAACCTCATACCCTGTAGGCAGTAATTCCCCTCAGCCAGGGAAAGCCTCTCTGCTTGACTCATCTCAATAGATCTCACAGCCAGAAAATGCCTTCATCATCCTCTTTTAATGATCCTGAGGGGAACCAAGTCAAGGTTATGTTTGTTCTGATTAGGTTATTGGGGTTCCCTCACCTGTCATTGTTCCTCCCCTCCTTTGTGCTTATGGAGATTAGCCTTTAATAACATAACAACATAAAAAATAATGGAATTATGTGTATCACATGAGGTTTCCCCTCTACTAACAATATTAATAAAACATTTTGGGTAAAGACTTTCTTACTTTGCTTCTTTCTGTATTGACAGAATCACATATTATTTTTGTTTAGCCACTCTTTCTTTCCTGTAAAGATTCTGCTTTTGTACCAGACTTGTGCTATACTTTGCTTCCAGCAATGAAAATAGAATTGTCCTGGGCAGCAGTGAATAATCTAAGAGGAGTGGTATTTTGGGGGCAGGCCAACTGTCACAAATAGGCTGGATTTTTGCATCTCAGACAATTCTGTCAGCTGGGTCAAAGTTTAGAAATAATTCCAGTTAGTTTCAACGTTTCTGAACCTCAGCAGTCAAAAAAGCGGCAGGGTTGTACTTTCCCTTTTGCCTTCTTTAATCGCTGCCTACTTTCTTAGAAGAATGTTGCTGTCTGATTTGGATCTGCTGTCAAGATGAAGTACCATGCATGAATATCTGTCTCTACATTAAGAACTAGGTTGGGGACTTTAGAGTATTTTCTTCCTCTGCTATGGGATCTTAAGGTTTCTCCATCATAGCCTAAATTATAACCTAAGGCCTGGAGCTGAAATTAAAAATTGAAGTGCATGAAATCCCCCTCTTTTTTTTTTCTCCGAGCAGTGAGGGCCTAGACTGCCATCACTGTCTTCCCTTCAAACATAACATACTGGTTTCTCTAGAAAAATATTATGGCCAAGCTTAAGTTCTGTATTGTCAATATGCCTCAGGTACACTTTCTTTCATTATCCAGACTGGCATTTATTTTACCTATATATAACAAGGCCCAAGTTGTAAAGGTAGTATAAAATAGACTGATATGATAACATGCTTTTAATTTTTAATTAGGTAACATTTCACCTACTCACTGAAAAAAATACTTCAGCTTTGTAGGGTTCTTTAAATCACATACAAACTTAAAAATTCTACATTATAACTTTTTATAGTTTCTAATAAAACACATAGCTCTTCTCCAAAGTGAATGAGTTCTAAAGTATTAAATATAAAGGGTTCTACACAGATACTCTATTAAGTTCATCTTAGTTTTAAATATCTAACGCATTTTGACCTGAGTACATCAAAACAATAATTATTAATGATAGAAGTAATAATGTCATATACACACTTGTGCTCTTAACACGTGTTAAGTCCTTGTTCAGAGAAAATCATGTTTTCCTACGCCTACATTTATTTCAGTAATCAAATACTGACTCACCAAAACACTTCAGTCATGCTGCTCTTAGCCTGACATCTGCCATCAGCACATTGACTGCAGCTTTTCTCCCATGTGATATGTCTTTACAAAAATATAAATGAATGATATGTTCCACAGTTTGGGGTTTTTTTATATAGCAGTTGTGGTATAAAAATGAAAACTCAGAAGAATACTCCAGGACCCCAGTCATGCTCTTTTGATGTCTCATATATCAGATCATATGGGAATGGTTCAAAGCTGCACCAGGGGAGGTTTAAACTGGACGTTAGGAAGCATTTCTTTATCGAGAGGGTGGTCAGACACTGGAACAGGCTTCCTAGAGAGGTGGTCGATGCCCCAAGCCTGTCAGTGTTTAAGAGGCATTTGGACAATGCCCTTAACAACATTCTTTAACTTTTGGTCAGTCTTGAATTGGTCAGGCAGTTGGACTAGATGATCATTGTAGGTCCCTTCCAACTGAAATAGTCTATTCTGTTCTGTTCTGTTCTGTTCTACTCTATATAAATAAATGTGCATTTCAATAAGTGCAATTTTTGTAGCCTCAGCGGGACATTGAAGTAATTGGGATTGCTTCAGGACTGAACATATTAAAATTTATAATATTGTTTGTGTTTAAAAGGAAAAAAATGGTTCCAGTAATGAGCAAGGTACTTACACGTGTCTTAATGAGAGTGGAAATAAATGGAGAAGGAGACTTTGGGTAAATTTAACAAATGTATTTAAGTGAGTTAGGAAGCTAAGTTCAATGCTGAAAATGTCTGTTGGAGGTACACATAACAATTTATGTGATAACTCTTGCTTGTAGTGTCTAGCTGAAAATTATAGCCCCGCATCTTTTTTCACGTCCCTTGACACAATTATTCTAAGCTTAAATTATTTTCAGGAATTTCTTACTGTATTTAAGCATTTTTGCAGCAGCTTTGCATGACTATGCATTTATGTATACTAGGACACAGCTACATGACTTCATGAGAATATATTTCAGGTGTTGTAGAAGAGTTATACAGCTTCAGGTAGATCTGTGGGTTCATTCCAATCTTCCTGAAGTAAAACTTGGCATATTTCTTTACTGCCACGTTTCAACAATAAAATAACCCATACAATTGATCTTATCCACCGAAGCAAACAGTTGTCATGGTTTAAGACTTTATTTTCTGCACTTGTCGTGGTTTAACCCCAGCCAGCAACTAAGCACCACACAGCCTCTCGCTCACTTCCCCCTCCCCGGTGGGATGGGGGAGAGAATTGGAAGAGTAAAAGTGAGAAAACTCGTGGGTTGAGATAAGAACAGTTTAATAACGGAAATAAAATAAAGTAAAATAGTAGTAGTAGCAGTAATAATAACAATAACAATAAATAATAATATCCCAGCCAGCTCCCCCCAGGTTATATACTGGACATGACGTCATACGTACGGCATAGTCCCTTGGCCAGTCTGGGTCAGCTGTCCTGGCTGTGCTCCCTCCCAGCTTCTTGTGCACCTGGCAGAGCCTGGGAAGCTGAAAAGTCCTTGACTAGTGTAAGCAGTGCTCAGCAACAACTAAAACATCAGCGTGTTATCAACATTGTTCTCATCCTAAAGCCAAAACACAGCACTATCCCAGCTACTAGGAAGAAAATTAACCCTATCCCAGCCGAAACTAGGACGGCACTTTATTTGTCAGCCCTGCTTTTCTGCCAGAGATTATACCCTTCCTATAGCAAACTCAACGGGAGCACACGTATGCCTATGCCTCAGTCACTGTTGCTCAGGGTGGTGTGTTAGTGCAACCCCATCTTCCCTGATGTCTCTTCTGCTGCTCTTCTTGGGCAGAATCTCTTGCAAGAAATAAATGGGTAGCTGGAGCTGATAATTCCAGCCGTCGCCTTCCATGCTTGTCCTTCACAGCTGTTAATATTTGTTATAAACTCTTTAATATTGATTCCAACCCCCCCCCTTTCTCAAATTACAGATAGTGGAGGGTGTAATCAATACCCATCTCTAGCTTTTATTTTATATTTTAAACAACAACAAAGAATAAATATAGTAATAATTAAACCTGTACATGTTTGCACATTTCCTCCTTAGTCTTTGAAGAGAAATGCATTTTGGAATCAACTGTAATTATAGCATTTACCAGGCAGTTGATGTGTGCTCAGTCCTACAGCCTCTAAATATATTTCCTTTGTTTTTCTTGGCTGGCTTGCATCCTGATTTGTTTTTTTTTTCTACCTCTAACTGGAGGCTTTTCAGTGAGAGAGTTTGAACAAGGACAGTTTATTAATCTGCAGACAAGGGATAGCAAATTACTTGTACCACAGACTTTAAAACAAGCTGTAGTGATATTAACTGCACAGTTTGTTCAGTCTTTGAGCAAAGTTGCATGATCTTCAAAGCCACTTTCTGCCCTCCTTCATAAGCCAGATATGATAATTACATTCTAATACCTGTAATCACAGCATTTTAGGTGAGAAATTTCAAAATTTGAAACAGAAAGGTTATGAAAAATTTTCTCAATTAGATCCGAAATACTTTCAGTTCTTAAATTCTTTTAGTCTCTCATTCAGAGAAATAAAGGCTAAGGGATACTGGTTTAGTACAGCTCTGCATTTCTTTGCAAAAAAAAAGAACAAAAGCCTATGATTAGAGCTATCAGCCTCTCTGAAAGCTCTTGTCACTTTCTGAACATCTGTAAGAAAAAGGACATCTTCTTAGTTTTCTTTGTTTAATATCTGTCTGTCTGTCTTCCTTGACCCTATCCAGCACCAGTCTTGTAAATGAAATCTCTTAAGTGTTTAGACACACTGTAAAAATTTAGACATGCTTAGCTCCTGTGCCATAGCTATTTCCATTGAAGTCTCTAGGACTGTCTGTGATTAAGTTATGTATGCATGTGAGAATTTGCATGTTGACAGCCTTAACAAAGTGTCTTCCATTTTGCACATATTTTTCTGCATGTCGTTTTCCTCTTTGTGTATATTATGGACTCTTGATTTATTTATTACAGAGCATCAAAGCCCATTTTGCTTGACTGCATTCCTGTATATATCAAACAGAAATAATGAACTAGAATAAGTGAAGAATTTTCTCAATTTGACACATGCTAAAGGTTGTGGGTTTTTGTCTGCTAACCATATAAGAAGAAGATGCTTGTTTACGAGATAAAGTTTCCTGATTCTGCATAAATAAGAAATTCAATGTTTCCAACCTGGTTTTCATTATGTTTGTGGTTTCTTTGCAAAAAAAAAGAGATGTACATGAAAACAAATGCCATAATTTCAGATTTTAAAATACATTCTTGTTTAATATGATTTAAGGTTTGGATAATCATAACATGTTGAGAGGTACTAGTGGTGTTTTATTACTCTAACAATGGTCTAAGGACCATCTAACAATGGTCTAAGCAAAACAAGGCTTACAGGAAAAAATTATATTCTTTATTGACCAACTGATACAGTTGGAAAAATTACACCAGCCTTCAGGTGCACAAGCCCTTCTTCCAAGTCAGAAGCAATTCCACCCAATAGGAGCTGTTCTGTAGAACGCCAAGTGCACTCCTTTGCAAAGTCTTGATTTTGAGCATATTTTGAACACAGAACACATAGATTATAATGAATGAAAAATATTCTTACGTAAAAGCACTGAATTAAATAAAGTGCTTCTCCACTTTATTCACAGTCATGTGGCATCCGATAGGTGGTCTGCCTTTCCCCACAGATCAGGTAGCTGATCTTAAAATGTTTTGGTCAGTGTGTAATACCTGAGCATTAAAGTAACTAACTCCTTTTTTGCAGGTGATCAAATATAAGTTTTGCCATGTGATCCAGAAATATCTTTATTTCTATAGTGCCTCCATCACCCCTCAATGGGTTTGTTAAAGGTACTAATGATTTTATTTGTGCCAACAGAATTTGAGGACGATGATGAGCAGCCTCCACCTGAAACTGAACAAATGCCCCAGAAACAGTCCAGTGACTCTGCAGTTTATAAAGAAGAATCTAAACCTACAGGTTGGCCTTGTAGCATGTATAATCTTTCTTACTAGCAAGTATCAAGAATTGTATGCCTTCCTTTTCTGCAAGCTTGTACTATTGGCTGTAAATATCATTCCTTACCTTAACTTTTTTCTTTTAAAGAAGTGTATAACGGAATAGTCAGGTTCAAGTTATTTAAACACTTATAAATGCAATTAAAGGCATGTTGTTATTTTCTGTTAAAAATAATGCACCAGCTATTTGCGCTTTGAAAAACAACAAAATCCCACTATTGCCTCTACTGCCTAAATACCAAATCAGTAAATGTGTGCAGGGATCTATGGAAATAACAAATAAGGTGAGCATTGCTGAAATTCCAGGTTGACGTAACCTCTTGTATTCAGAAATCCATGAGCACTCTCTACAGGATGAAGTGATAAAGGAGGGAAATCGGAGGAAAACAGACTTTAGAAATTCACTCTCATGGATTGTGACCCCCAAAAAAAGAAAAAGTAGAGAGAAGAAAATACCAGGAAAAAATGGGGAAAAAAAAAAAACCCAGGAAATAATCGAATTGCAGTATACACAAACACGTGCATGTGATTTTACCAAACCCCAGTTCTACAGACCATTTTTAAATTAATATTATATCCACATGAATCGGAAATTACTAATCCATTCCCTGTGGCAAGAGATCTTGGGAAAAATGGGAATGGATGAATTTTAACTTTGGATGCGAATGATCAAAATATGTCCTGTACTTTCCTTAGTCATCTGTTGTCCTGCTAACACCTTACTAGATTTCACACAGTCATGTTTTCTTCTTTTCGGTATAAGGTAAAATTCTGCAGCACATGGAACTCTACAGAACCAAAAGCTACTGAAAAGATATACGAAATCCTATAGTAGCGTTCTCTCGAAACACTTCGAAGGCAACTCATCTTTAATGGAGACGGTCTGCTTTAGTTTTTAAAATACACATTTTAGCTTTTATTTACTAGAATGATTAGTATATGTTAAGTCCAAAAGAGAAATAAATCCAACATAAAACATTTTATTTTAAATAGCAAGTTGTTAAATATACACATTTTTATGCATTAGAAAGAATCAACTTAATCTGCAAACCAAACTGTTTTTTTTTTCCAAACACCATAAATCAGTACACACAATATAAGTTTGTCTACTAAGTACATTTCACTGTAATATGCTGAAAGTTATTTGGCAGCATGTATTTATAAGTAAGTAATGAAAAGTCTGTATAAGCAAACTACATGGTCTGTTTCAAAAAGACAAATGAAAATATGTTCATAATGAAATATGGATCAGTTCCAAGAAATGGAAGCATCACTGTTATCCTACATTTTGCCTTTTTGTTTATTCTGATAGTTAAACGCTAATGAAGAAGACATGCTGGCTTATGGTGTCTCTGTCTCAGCCTTGGCAGGGTTTGAGAGGAGAGGAAAGAAGGATTTTTTCATCTTTTTATTGCTGAATATGGACTGAGGGCAGAACAAGTCATATCTAATACCAGCAGAACACTGGAAAAAAAAGATATTAAAGCCTTTCCTTCCCCAGCAACTCACTTGGAGAACATGGGGGCAGAAAGCCTTTAAGGATTGTTTGTCTCTATGGTAACTATACTCAGTAAAAGCAAAGAGACACAGAGCAAAAGAATATGAGAGATTGCCATATAGGCATTCCCTGTGAAAGCTCCAGATTTAGGGCTGGGGAGGATTGTTTCCTAACTCCTCTTTGAAAAGGAAAAGAAATTAAGAATAGCACTGTTAGATAGACTGCCACCTCCTCCGAAGAAAACTTGTTTGCATTTTTAGATCCATTTATTTTTAAACCATTACTGTCTTTTCAAGTATTTTTCTTGACTATGTTTCTTATTTCTTTAAAAATATCATCTCACTGTAAATCACCTCTGCAAGCAGAATTATTATAACATATCTAAGCTATCAAAGGTACAGCTGCCTTACCTACTTAAAAGCATTTTCAGTATTTTTGATCCCTGAGACCCGGTTTGAAACAACCCAAATGCCAGGAAGGCAACATTTTTGTCATAATAAGGTTCAAATACCTGAACCAAAACCAAATAATGTTTGGGTTGTCCAGTTTTTGGGTTGTCCCTTTTCCCTAGGAATGTAAACCTTTTTTCTTTTGTTATTTCTCCCCTCTTTCCAGGGGAAAGTTTCTCCAGTTCACTTAGGCCTGTGTAAGCTATTTAAAAACTCTGCAAGTATGCAATAATTGCTGCTAGATAAGTTTTCTTACTCAAGAAAACTCTCAGATAGAGGTAATCTGATGGAATTATGTGCCTAGCGTAGAGAATCAGCGCTGGAACACATGCTGGTCCATCATTTGCTAAATACGGCCTGTCAGGAGAGGTGTAACATGAATTGTAAGTGTTTCTGAGATTAAGGTTCATACAGGAAGCACTCTATTGAATGGATTTGTTACCATGTTCAATATTCTGTCTCAGATGATGTCAAATATTCACTTAAATCCATTATTCTGCCTGTATATTTCCAAAGTTTCACGACCTACTCAGAACTGAGAGGATTTTAAAGGGCAGGACTATAGAAGATGGTCTGTTGAAGGCTAGATCCAGACAGCCCACATTACCATCTTCCATAGGTTATTGCTTTGAATAGGGCTGTGGTTCACAAGGCAGCACATGTGATTTTTACAGTGTGAATGTGCCAGGGATAACACGTGCAAAAAGCAGCTAGCGTAACCTAGTTATTCATGTACCCTTTGCTTATTTTCTTAAAATCTGTGTTCCTAATGGAATCATCATTACATAATGCATTAGTGCTGGCCAAATTTAAGCAGGTTTTACCTGGCTACATCTCTGTCTCATTTGGAATACATCACTGCAGAATGCAACATAATTAATTGTGACATTTACACAATACCTTTTAATGTACATAAAAAGGAAGGTATTTTCATGTTCCTGTTTAGAATCACGGCAAGAGACAGAAATGTCATTGCAGGGGATAACTAATGTAATGATGTATATAGAATGAATGTGTAGTTTAGTAAAATGCAAACATTTATAAACATTTTCAAGAGAAAATTAATTCCTAATTCAAGATCAGACTATTTGAAATCTGCAAGGTGTTTCTGCTTAATGATATGCCCGTTTGCACTTTTGGTTTATGTTTGAACTAATAATCATTCAAATAGAGGGAAGGTTAGCCACTGAGGTGTCAGTCTAGTAGCTGTGTTGTTCAAAGCTGTAAAAAGAAGAGGGGGAATGCATTAAGTATTCTTTGTTACAAAAGGTCACAAAAATACTTGCCAAAATGCTTATTTGTTAACCTATTATTTAAAAATGGCTCAATTAAAATAAAATTTTGCAGTTCATCTTGGGGACAGCATGTCAGGACACTGTGAGGGCCAACTGCTCCCAAAGGAACAGGGAGCTGGGAGCAGAGTGTGGTAATGTGCCATCAGGACAGGGCCTGGCAGGCAGAGCCTGTCCCACCACCCCAGCCAGGAGCAGGGCAGCTCCGGCCCTGGACACTGGGCACCTCCCTGGGGAGAGGGACGAGCTGAGGCCGGGCTGGGATGTCGGCCCGCGGGTGGGCCCACCTCAGCAGAGCCCATGGCCGTGCAGGGCTGTGGGGGCGTGGGGACTGGCCCTGCTGCTGCATTGCTGGGGCAGGGGCTAACAGCCCTGGGGGCTAACATGGGGTCCTGGGCCGTGGGCAGGTGGAGGGAGCCCCAGGGGCCTGGGCAGGGACAGCCAGGCCCGGGGGTGCCCTCAGGCCCCTGAGCCAGCATATGAATTGCCATAGAGGGCCTGATTTGTTTCAAATCTCAATTTATGATATATATATAGTAGAGGTAAATGGGGGTATTGAAAGAATGGAAGTTTCAGCCTTATAAGTGGCAGAATAAAATTCTTAAAAGCACCTAAGTATCTAGAAATTTACTATATTTCTAGAGGACTACACATTAAGACCCAGACCCACAAGGAGATGTAGACATGACATTGCAGTGCCTAAAACTGCCATACTAACTTTTAAGTGCCTGGTTTCATATATGGAATTAAGGGTTGTAGAAATACGTACAAGTAGCAAAGTAGCAAGGGGCCAACCTTAGTGAGCCATGAAGGAATGTCAAAGGAGGCATGTATTTGAAACCCTGCATCTTTTTAAATTTAGCTGATGACAAAAGAATGGGAGTCCCTAACTCTAGCTCTTTGGCAATTAACTCACTGGAGGCAGATACTGGCTTGCTTTTTTCTAGAAGACAGCAGTGGCACTGACCTTTGATATAATAGCTTCATAGGTAGCTTAGCCATCCAAGCCAGAAAAATCTGTTAGATGTGTTCCTTGTCCTGCAGGCACTCCCATATCCCAGCTGCTATTGACACTTCCAGGCGATGCTTTAGTTGGTAGCATGTTAGAAAAAAGGTAGGAGCATCTCTACTCTGACCATTACGTTTAGTCCTGTTTCCTGCCAAATCTTGCTGGTACCTAATCACTGAAATCCAGCTACATTGTGCTTAGTAATAGCATTTTTTGATCTGGTTCTCTTTTGGAAAATTAAATGTGGCATTTGTGGATTTCTTCAACAATCCACAAGAGAAGAGTGAGAGACATTCAGTCTGGGAGGAAGTCTTAGTTTTCTTAAAGAAGAAAAATATAACAGGGCAATTTAACTCTTCATGAGCCAGAAAAATTGTTTGGATTTTTCAGTTGGGGCAAGCTCAAAATGAATGTTACAGTGCTGCAACTTCACATAGTGAGCATTGGCCTGCTTAATGCCAGGCAGTAACCATAAAACACTGTGTTTTTAATGTTTTTGGCTTTTGTATTTTTAAGAAAATGGTCAAAGCTTTTAACATACAAGGCATTACCTCAGGCTTTCATTTTTACTAATACCTGTCCTTTTTCTGTGTAGGAAGTTATATAAGGAAAAATAGTAGTAATGGTCCTTTTTTGTAAAAATCAGTTGCCGTTCCTGCTCTTTCAAACTCAAAACAAGACAGAAACAAAAAGAGGAGAGGAAAATTATAGCAAAGTATAAAATCTTGTAGCTTTCATTTCTGGCAAAAGACAAACACAGCACACACTGTAAGTCCCAGGAAACTTATAGTAATATCAGACCATTTAAGTCATTGCTTTCAACTGCTTTTCTGTCTGTTAGCTGAAGGCACTGATATCAGACTTATTAAACAGAACACAAAAGAAAAATGATAAGAAAAAGAAGAAAATCAGGGTTGAAAATTATATGGGTGCAGGGAATGGGAACAGCAGCAACAGCACCACATCGCTGCTGCCAGAGACTGTTCATGATTTAGTAGGACAAGGTGGTGATGGTGTCATCTAGGCACCTCTGTATCTTCTTCTAGCTGAGACAGAACTTTGTCTCAGGACTTTCAGGGCCTAACAATGTCTAAATGGATAATTAACAGTTGGACTTGATGATCTTAAAGGTCTTTTCCAACCTAAATGATTCTATGATTCTAATTACAGCCCTAGAAACCAATGAGTATCTTTGTCCTTTTCTGTAATGTGTCAATATCAAGTTTTTAATTCAATATCTGCTGTCAACATCAAGTTCTTAATTCCGTCTGGCTTTTTCAGCAAAATGGATAGCAGTGGAAGCAGCTATCTCTCTGTTATTTTGCTCACCCAGTATGACAGCACATTTGGTATGGTTTCATCATGTTTACCATGAGTAGTACCTGTGAATTTATTTATATTAATGCATTGTTTCAACCTCTTGTGTTTAGTTTTCATGAGACAGTGATAGGAGACAGGCTTGGCCTTCTCTGATCTTAAACAACTGACACTACAAATTTCTGCACAACGTATCTTAAGAGATTAAAGTCTTTTCTTACCCTTACTGATTAAACAAGTTATTATATGCAGACACAGCTTCATTAAAGCCAAAATTTTTGTGAGAGTTTCTTAGTCCAAGTATCCACAGAGGGAAGTGATGATATAATTTTTTAAAAATTTTTCATTTATTTATTCATTCATATTTGCATTACTATTATCATCATTTATATGCTCCTTGTCCTAGAGTGTATTGACTGGCAGATGGGATTTACAGGCACAGTCCTTTTCCTTCTATAATTATGGATGACTTCTAGCATCCAGAGAAATGGGTTACACTTTTCATCTCATTGTTGGTACTTCTTAGAATTACTCCACACATTCATACATCTGTATTTCTTCATAGCACCAGTATTTGGGTTCTATAGTTCATAGGTATAACATGCTGTTGTCTGCAAAAGTAAGCATATTCTTAAGATCCCTATAAGCATATACCTGAGAAAGTGCAGAGGGAACAGCACATAGTCATGCTCCAAGAACATGGTAAACGAAGGGCAACCAAGTTGGTGAAGGGTCTAGAGCACAAGTCTTATGAGGAGAGGCTGAGGGAGCTGGGGTTGTTTAGTCTGGAGAAGAGGAGGCTGAGGGGAGACCTTATCGCTCTCTACAACTACCTGAAAGGAGGCTGTAGCGAGGTGGGGGTCGGTCTCATCTCCCAAGTAACAAGCGACAGGACGAGGTGAAATGGCCTCAAGCTGCGCCAGGGGAGGTTTAGGTTGGATATTAGGAAAAACTTCTTCACTGAAAGGGTAGTCAGGCATTGGAACAGGCTGCCCAGGGAAGTGGTTGAGTCCCCATCCCTGGAGGTATTTAAAAGACGTGTAGACGTGGTGCTCGAGGACATGGTTTAGTGGTGGAGTTGGCAGTGCTAGGTTAACAGTAGGACTCGATGATCTTAAGGGTCTTTTCCAACCTTAACGATTCTATGATTGTATAACCTAGGCTGCTGCTACTTGCAGGGGCTTTGCCAATAGCGTAAGAGAAGTTGCTCCTGAGAATCCTGTGAATAACACAGGGACTTTCAAGTATGAGGCAACTCCTCTGTTTTTTGGGAGGACCTTCAGCCTTCAACACCTGTGTGTTCTCCCTGCACTCAGTAGGATAAATAGATGCGATATCCATTTCTTCCAGGACAATGCGTTATCACAGTAATTCTAGCATGCTGATCAATTTCACTGGGAAGAGCCAAAATGTCTCAACAGATAACTTATTATAAATGGGAATTTGAAAACAAGTTTTAAGATTGAAGAACTACAAATACATGTTTCAAGTATTATTTTGTTTGGAGTTTTTAAAGTTATTATCAATGAGGAGAAAAATAACTTTTCTTTGAAATTGGCACCGATTCTTTTATGATACTCAGTATATTTTAATGCATATATAGTGCATAATTTATGCCATTATCTGCTGTAAACTTTAATTTTTCATTACACATGTATGGACAAATTGTCTCTGAATACATAACAGATAACTTCTTCATTAATTTCTGTACATTTATAACAATGCACAATTGGAAAGATGCATTCATAACTCTAAAGAGGCCTGGTTTAGTGGTTAAATCACATAAATGAGGCTTGAAGGTCAGAAGAAATTAATTCCCTCTTTCAATTCTGTTGCAGTGTTGGTTGTGAAATGGAAATATTCCAGTTCTCTGAACAAATAGATCTAAATTTCAAGCTGTTTAACACCCACAGTTTCTGTTTCATATAACTGGCAAAAGTTTGTTCAGCATCTCTGCAAAGATTAAACATCAGGTATCCAGGAATCGAGACATTCCTATTACAGATCACTTTTAAAAGGTGGATCATAATCTCTGTGCATCTGTCTTGCCTCGTTTGTTAGTTATGCTTAGAGGCATCAGTTGTAATTTGTTTAAGAACTCTCATATTGCATGGTTTAGTGTTTTAGCGCACTGCTTTGCCTTTATCGGTTTAGGATTTCAGTCTTCAATACCATCCCTCATATCCTTAATATTTACACTGAAGTGGACTTCTCTGTTTAGTCACTTCTTTTTCCTTTCTCCCTTAAATCTTCTATCTTCTCTGCAATTTTGCCACATTGATCTTTATATATCTGTGTGCCTTTGTTTGAGTAAATGAAGGTTTAGTTCATTAATAACATCTGTATATTGAGATCTTATCACCTAGTAGTATGCACTATATTTCTATTCATGTAAAGAGAACACACTCCACTTGAAAAAGAACAGATACCTAATATGCAACCTGAACACTCCACAACAGCTTCAGTAACTGAACCTGAACCATGTCAGAACATGAAGTTGCTTCTTTGCAGTGTATGTCAGTTTTCCTTCTCTTTATTTCTTCCTATACTGGCATGTTCCATATGAGGCATGACCATATGGATAGCCTGTCAAAAACTGTTCATCATTAAATTGTAATTTTTAAATTAATATATATTCCTTTTATTTCTTTGCAGAAAGAGTCGTTATATTTCTTTGCGTGCTGATTTAAATAACCATATGCAAATTTAGTTAAGTAATTTGACCTTGTTTATTTTCCTGGAGAAGCATCAGTATATACTATATCAACATAATGAATCTGGCATTTTCAAAGTGTCTTTGTAAACTAGTAGTATAATAATTCATAATTACGGCGGGGGGGAAGGAGGCAGCATTAAAAAACCATGCCACCATGTTTGAGGAAAATAAAAATAATCCTAAAGCATATGATAATTTTTCAATGTAAAACATTTTAGAGGAGCATTACCTTCTATACACTATTTGATTTTCAGAAATCATACTACCTGAGTTTGCAGAGGATGATTTTCCAGATATACCAGAAATGGAAGTAATTAAAAGGAAGATTGACCTTTTCATGCATGACTGGCAAACAGTGGAGTCAGAAATCAAGCAGTCGTCTCTAGTTCAGGGTGTTGTTTTAGAGATTGCTCAGCAAACTCCAGAAAGTCTGCTTAATCAAACTGTGCTGGTTATGGAAAGTAAGTAATACTGTTTATGTGATTTACACTTAACCTACCAAGAGGGACTTTGGAGAGCTTGTATGATGAATATATTGGGGGGAGGGGTAGGTTATACTCAGTTCTGTATTGCTCACATGAAGTGGGAACAGGACATGCTGTGTTCTGTGGGTGAGCTGAAAAGCACGCTAGCAGCCTTTAAGACATAGGAAGAGTGGGGAATATAGATATTTGAAAAATACAGATATGGCTATACAAATACGTACATAACACCTCCCTAAACATTCTGACAGTGCAGTTCCCCTGTTACTTGCTCTATCTGTTCATGTCAGGATACTGGTTTGAGAAATGGATAGATAACAAAGGTTCACTAATGTACAGTATTTGTTGAAGTCAATGAGACTTTCAGGGTGTGTAATAATCTAATCTACCCACCCGCACAGATTGTGTTTCAAGACTGGAGTTTTATAGTATTGATATTTTTTTGGCAAATTACCTTTCTTCACTTGTGTGCTCAAATCTCTAACAATTCTGAATACTGGATAAATAATATTAATACTAGATTTTTCCTATCAGTACTACAATGCAAGTATTTTATTAACCAAAACATCTATTGTGCTAGCTTTACAATCAAATAAAATTTGACTGATGATTTTCCCCAATGAACAATAGGAAAAAAACTGTTGCAAACAGTAATGACACTATCTGCTTGTGTTTGTATAATACTTTTGTACTACAAGTTCCCATTGAAAATACCAATTTACTTCAACCAAAAAACAACCAGTAGAATTTCCATTTTTGGAGGAAGCAATATATTAATTCCTACATCTGGGGAGAACATTTTGTTATATGAGTAGGAGAAATGCAATATACAGTGGACATGATTTGCTTTCACATATGTGCTTACTTTTATGGACGAAGAGAATATATTCTGGCATAGCCAAATGAAATATATTGAAACAGAAAAAAAAAATTAACCTTTTCAGAACCTTTTAAATATCATGGTTGGGAATTATCTGCTGAAGACTTAGATGAGGAAGCAGAAGATCTGGCTGCTGAAGGGGAAGATGAAGAAGAAGTTGAAGAAGAGGAAAATGAAGATGAAGAAGTAAGCATGCTGGCTTTGTCTATTTATGCTTTTATTTTAACTCATTTATTTTCAGTTTGAACATAACCCCAGAGAAGTCAGATTTTGCACCTGATTTTGTATGATCTGGTTTCAGCCCTCTTACAGAATAAATATCAGCATATGCTTCAAGAACACTTTCATTGTATTCCTGTGTTCTGGCTGATAGTTTTACTACTCTAGCAAGAAGCATAAATAACCCATGATAATAGAGAGAATGAATGTACTGAGTTTTGCCAGATGGCAAAGAGGGGTTTTATTAAAGAAACAAAGGTGAACTTTGATTTCTGTCAACTAACAATGATTCTGTGAGCCACCATGTAAACATCAGAAGATGCAGAGTCCTAATGTGCAATCCTCTGTTTCATCTCAGCTATTGATAATTTTCAAACACCCACTTTAATGAAATTAAAGGTCTAGCTTCACCTTTCTTTTATTTTCATCTTATATTGGAAGATGCCCATGCCCAAATTTAACAGTACAAGATATCCATATACTGTACTGGAGCAGTATTGAATAGATTTTTTAGAAATTAATTTTATTGGATAAGTAATCTGACTTCATAACACCAGTTCTCATTGCCTTTTCTGAAGAGGTCTACTTCTGCACATTTAGAAGCAACAGAAAGTGAGTTTCAAGAACACAACAGGAAAAGATTTTATCATAGATACTTCTAGCTTAATTTTGGTCTTCCACAGCTAACTATGATGTTATGATTTCAAATTTAAAATGGTCATTCTTTTCTCAATAATTGTCTCACCAGACTGGACAGTTTGTTTTCTGACTCTGAATCTAAAAACTGAGTATTTTCATAGGCTTATATTCAGCTTACAAACTATCTTGAGAATACCATTCTCATTCAATGATCAGTTGATGTATTTGACATTACTTAATCTGATCTACTTGATCTACTTAATCTAAGTGAACTACTGAATTCAAATAGGTTTTGAAAATTTTTGTATTATTTTCAGGATGAAGAAAAAACTAAGGAAAAGAAAAGGCACATGGGAGACACAAAACACTTTTGTCCAGTCAGTCTGAAAGAGAACTTTGTCCTTTACCCAGGACTCTATGAACATGCAGCTAAATATCGAGAAAAGATTTATTACTTTTCAACTTCTGAGTACAGAGATAAATTTTTGAAGAACCCTGAGGAGTATGTGGCTCACAATGAACCCATACAAGTGAGAATCTTCAAAATTGTTTAAAGCAGATAATAAGAGATTAAAATTACTATTTTCAATTCCCTTTTATAATTGTTTATTATTGCTGATTTTTTCTAGGTAACAATAAATATATCAGGCAAGCCCTTGAAACAAATATAACACATTGCTTCCCTAGTGACTTTTTAGTGTACATTTAAATTAACACATTGAATTAATGATGCAAATAAAGCAGAAAAGAGAGGAAGATTATAAAGGCTTACAATAATCATAAGATGTGATTAACAAATCACAAATATTGGGGGTTTTTTACTACCTTGAAGTCTTTTTTTGTAAATGGAAGAAGGGTAAAAGAAGGGAAGATTTACCAGAATTGTCTAATGAGGTTTCATTTTTACCTACTGGCATCAACTGCCATAGTGTATTTGTTAAGTATTTCCAGAGAGCAGGTAGTCTGTTTGGAACAGCAGTAGAATGCCTGGAAAAATTAAAATGCAAAATGATGTGACTATTTTTGATGCAATTTTTATAATGATATTTTGGAAGTGAAAAACAGTAGGGGGGGCACTGTAGACTCCAAATTGTTATAAAGTATTCCAATTCTTTCCTATAGGCTCCTCCTTTACGGGTGTGCTTACTTGGGACACATGGAACAGGTAAAACTACTTGTGCACGACAGATAGCAGACAAATTAGGCATTTTCCATATTCAGTTTGAAGAATATCTACAGGAATTGATCTTACCCAAAACTAAACAGAAAGTTGGGCCCAATTTTGATGAAGAAGCTGAAGAAGATGACAATAAAATGCCAATTCTATCACAGGAACTGGACAACTTCTCTCAGACCATGACTAAAACTGAGACTGAAAAAAGCAAACAGGTAATAATCTGATCTTTTTTATGTCTATACACAAAATAACCATTTTTAGACCAGAATAGCAATTTCCTATAAAATTTTAGTTTGATAAAACTCACTTATGTTAAATTATTTACTTGATGAAATGTGGAAACAATAGTTCTTGACAGTGTTTTCTTATGAATGCCAAAAACATTCTTCAAAACATTTCCAAGAATTATGTATAGGTTTTTTCTAAACAGTAGAGATAAATGCTAAACACGGCTAAGGAAGACAAACTGAGGAAAAAATAATGAAGGTCAGAATAATAACAGGAAGATATGGTTTCCGTCAAGTATTTATAATATGCAGTTTCAGTCTGGTTCATGCGCTCCAGTTGCACAGGAGTTTAGAAGTGTTCACCAGCAATGAACTCTCTCCTGGGGCAAAAGAATAGAATGCCTCTACCAGCCCTTCAGTGTGATCCTACCTTGTCAAAAAATCAGAAATATTTCAGTCTTCATAACAGGGTAAACTAGTATTTATTTAATACAGTAGGTTTTGTAATCTGGATTGTAATGTTGTCTTTGCCTATTGGCAGCAGAGTTTCAAACCAGAAAAACCTCTTAGGTGGCATAAAATATGCCTTGTAGTTAAAAAACTGTTTAAAATAGCTGGATATTCACGATACTTGTAAAATAAATCATGAATGATAGTTTTCAGAAAATTAGTTCTTTTTCTTAATCAGATTGAATACTGGTTGAAAATTGTTATACGTATACATTCTAAAACCCATCTCTTACGGGGTATAATTTCCCTGAACAATAAACATTTACATAAATGTTTATGAGGAGAGAGTGATTTCTTCTATTAGATATATTGGAAAAAACAGACAAGGTTTCAACACATATGAATTCTTCTTTAGACAGCAATGGATATGATAAAAGCCTTTACTGTGTGGAGAAGTCTCAACACACAGGTGCACAGCATATAAATCTTTCAAAAAATGTGTAGTACAAAGACATTGAAAAGCTACTTCCTAGGCAATACAAATAAGGGTTTATCCAACTCTCAAAGCTTCAGGAAGAAATAAGTTTCTGCATCCCATTCTAAGAGCCATGTTTTTTGTGCTCCTGATACCTGCTATGTTCCTTCAAGTTACTAGTCCTTAAAGACCTTCAAAGACTTCCTACTACAGGATCTAAGGAAGCATGCAGGAGGCAAAGCAGGCTACAGAGGAGGCATGCAGAAACAACATCCAGGCACAGTATTAGGAAGATGAGCACTCAGTGGAAGTTGAAACTAGTGAGGGATCTGAAGGGTAGCAAGAAGAATTTCACAGGAACAACAGCAGCAAAAGGAAGACCTGGAAAATATGAGTCTGCCACTGAGTGGGGCAGGTGACCTTTTGAAAAGGCTGAGATGCTCAATGCCTTCTTTACCTTGGTCTTTACAAGTACAGTCTAGTCTGTGGCCTTCTAGATCTCTGTGCCTAATAGGAAAGCATGGGTAAAGAGTGGTACTACTCACAGCAGAATAGGATCAAATTTGGGATCATTTATGTAATCTGGACATATACAAGTCAATGGGGTGCATTCACAGGTGCTGAGGAAACTGCTAAAGGTGCATTCAAGGCCACTCACTATTGTCTTGAAAAGCGGGAGAAGTCCCTGATAACTGGAACGTAGTGTTCCTGATGAAAATAATACAAAAGCAGGTAATATTGGAAGCAAATGCTTTAACACAGATGGAGTACAGATCAAAATCATGGATGTCAGAACAAAAATTCAGGTTTTCATCAGTTAAATCTAAGAGGAGGTTCTTTTGGCAAGTCAGTTTACAACTTGGTCATCGCAGCCAAAAATACGGCAAGTGTTCCTGGCACTGATGGTTATGGCTGGCTTTCTCAGCTTTATTTTTTTGGCATCAATACATGTCTTACACTAAGGCACTTCTGTTCGTATTTTTTCCTCATCATCTTTTTATCTGCTGGTAAACAATCTTCTTCTACATGAGTATTTTTTTCTCACACTTGTAAAGCACTTTATCTGATGGCATGACCAAAGCACAACTGATGCAATTGCAGTTCAGTTTAGAAACGCATTCATTGGTCCATGCACAAAACTCTAGAGGAAAATTTCCAAGGCTGTGGACTCCCTAAGCATTTCTCTGAGTATGACTACAACCAGACTGTCCGACTATCCTGTTTTTCACCGACCCCCTACCTCTCTGAAATAATTTCATTTAATTTCATTTGTATCATTGTCTTTGGCACAAGACACTAGAAGTGTATCTGTCAAAGCTTAAGGTAAAGGTCAGATATAATATTCAAAGCAAAAATACTAAAGGCAAACAAAACATGCCATGCAGTCTGGGAAGTTTAGCAAAAAGTTATCATCCTGGTTGTTTTAGTATGTGTCACCCAAAGCCTTCACAGCATTGTCAGGTCTGGGGAGCAACCTTGTCCTTCAAACCACTGCTATGTGGGATATTGTCTTTTCTGTACCCAGAATACACATCTCGTGTTTCTTTTCTTTTATCAGATACAAATGCCATTTCAACAGTTCATCTGCAGTGGTGATGTCAGTGATACATTTTTATATGGGTTCTACTGTTTTCTCCCACTTCACACATTTCTTTCAAGATGCCTCTGTGTTACAGATCTGGCTACCACTTTTGCCTTCTTAGGTATCCGTTATGTCATACTACCATCTTTTAATATATACTCTATGTCAGGCACTAGAGAAAATATTACTCATACACACACTACATTAGAGCTGTGGCTTCCAGCATATCCTCAAGTTCTTTTGGCTACATTATCAAAACAGATGTCAAGCATAGGAATTCTTATTCAGGCATGTCCTTGCAGTAAGAAGCTCCCCACCATCATTTTGAGGGTTCCTGAATCACTTTGGATCCTTTTGAATAACCCCAAAGGGTTATTCCTTTATTTTATGACAGGTTATGCTAACAAATTCTTGAGCCATTTGGGTTAATATGACTACTACATGAGGAAAGGACAGCAGAACTTTGTAATGAATTCACAACAGAATCTCAGGGGACAACTTAAACAGATTTGCTGAGAGTGACAGGAGGATACCTAGCTGCATATTAAGTTTTCTCTCCAAGTGACTTTGGATGCAACTTAGGTGCATGTTTGATTTCAGGAGTGTATATCCAGTCATCTTAAACAAATATAGATGACTTTTTACAAATGAGACCTTTATAAGGTACGGTAGAAAAAGTACTGAACTCTTTAAAGGATACCAGATACATTTCTCTTATGAACTTTGCCATTCTGTTTTCAGGAAAAGAAAATACCGACTAACTAGAAAATAATATTTTCTTCTCTGAATATTACCATGAAAAATTAACACAGCAGGCCAGGAACAGCGATATTTTCTGACTTCTAGTGTTGTCTTTTACCCAGTATACTTGTAAAAACATGTCTTTTCATATTGTGACTGACGTAAACTAATCCAGAATCACCAATCTATACCCTCTTTTCATTCTTTTTTACTGCAGTTTGTGTCAGGAAGACATTTTATGAGAAGTGCATCCTCAGCCATATCAGTCTCGCAGTGTTACATAATCTGAAAAACCAGTTTTTCACAAGAACTTAACAGCTAGATTTGGTATTTGAATGCTCTGCATTTGACTAGGCATTAATACTACTACTGCTCTGCAGAACAATGCTATCTTTCTGATTTCTGGTCATGCGCCTATACCCAGTAACCTCACGTATCTTTCTTTGACATCTTTCTTTGGATTGCATCAAAAGATAGAAGTTGCTTTTAAAAAGTAAAAAACCATTCTGATGTAGAGCAGATAGTCTTCCAGCATGAGAACATGTATAAATAAGTGGAAAACTTGTAGGCAATTAGGAGAAACTGTGATCATTTCAGTTTCTATTTCTCTGAATTGAGCATATGTATAATTAAATACTTGACAATTGTGCTTGATTTTAGGTCTACGGAATTACTCAACCCCAAGCATGTGGAAAATATCCCAAAATGTATAATGTAGCACAGTGAAATGTGGTAAATGAGTTTACTTTGTTTCTGCTGGTTTAAATCAAATGAAGACAGTACCTTACTTAGTCAAAAATAAATAAATGTGTCTGGTAGATTTTTCTTTCTTTCTGTTTTTTTTTTTTTCATTTTTTGTGGATTTTCTTTATATAAAGGAAGTGGAGTTAACTGATGAAGAAGAAGCAATCAAAGCAAATCTAATGCATAATGAGGCGCTGCCTCCAGAAGTCCTTGATAACATTGTTCTTGACTGGTGGAGGAAAGAGCCATTCCGGTAACTGCAATCAGATTCTCTTTCTTAATTAAACTTAGGAAGTATATCATTCATTGTATCCACAATTACAAATAACTATTGCAGAGATTATTTCAATCCTCTTGTACTTCTTCTGCATCATGGCCTACCTCTCAGTCTTGGTTTTGTTGCTCTATTTTGATTGACACTCTGACAGTAATATAATGTCTCATGCGCTTTACACAGGACTGGACAAAAGTACTTAGTGCACTTAAATTGGATTGAATCTCCTGAATAGCCGGGTAGTTTTCAGGGGTTTACAGGATAGATATGTAAATAACTCCTTTATGTTTTGATGTAATTAATAAACATGGAGAGCTGGAATCCAGCTGTAACTGTTGGTTTCCATATATTGTAAATATGGTGTGGAAACCAAGGACAAAGTATCAATGGTCTCCAAAGTAACACAGAATCAGGTTGTCTTGTGCATTCATCACAACCTGTACTCCAGTGATGTATGCACAACAGACTTCCTTTCATATCAGAAAGTATATTCATAACACTGTGATTAATGTGGATTATTGTTGCATAAATAAATAAGATCATCGACTCCTAGAAAGCAGACTGGCTTTTTAGGGTGTAATTTCAGCTTTTTAAAATCCCCTTTTCCATGTCCAATCTCTTCTATCCATTTACATCCAGATCAGAGCTGCTGGCAGCTTGACCATTAGGTTTCAATTCCTAACAGTATGAGAAATGCCTTAAAAAGAATAAACAAGGTCCTCAAATAAACTTCTGTCCTGTCAGCCTACAGACAGGGGACAACATTCTCTTAATGGTGTAAAAGTAGGAAGATCAGTTTTAGGAAAAAAAATGCACCAAGACAAAAAATTACCCAGCATTACACATAATGTTGTGATATTATATTATATAAATTCTGTTTCATCAGGGACTGTATAGCAGAAGAGAACCTTCATCACAATAGATATCATGATCGATATCCTCCCCCCAACTTTCTCCCACAGCATCCAGGACCACCTGTTCTTCCATCCACTCGCACTCCTCGTAGCTGCTTTGGTTTTCTGCAGTTTTACAATGTATCCTATTAAGTTCTAAAGTAATAAACAGAAATATTAACTTCTTATTAACACAACATTCAGCTTTACAGAACTACTCATCTGATTTGAGATTGTAAGAGCTCCAACAAGCCATAGAGCTTTCCAGTCATATCTGACGCGTTTTTAATATCTGGAAGGGAGATGTAGGTCATGCTGAGCGGCAAAATTCTCATCCTATACTAGAGAAGAAATTGTCAGGCATTTCTGAAAAATAAATTTTCACGTGGCAAGCTTTCTGTGGCAGATGTTACCGAACTAATGTTTGAGGCACCTACTATTTTTTTGAGAGCAGTGCCTAAGAAGTACTTTAGAGTCACACAAGCAATACTCAGGACTCAATTTATTTTGGCTTTTTAAAGTTTAAAAGCACATTAAAACCTCAGAAGAAATACATTTGTTAGTACACCAATTAAAATACATAGTGAAGTATCAGTTTTACATCGTCAAAAGATAATACCTGAAAGTATTTTTTTACATTTATTCTTAACATATACATTTAATAAGGGAGGTTGGTGGGTTGGTTTTTTTTTTTCAAATTAATTGCATTTTCACTGTGTTGCACTCTAAACTACATTGTGTAATGATAAATATCTTATTTTCCAATTAGGTCCACAGGATTTATACTGGATGGTTTCCCTCGTACTTTAGATGAAGCCCAGTATTTGTCAGAACGAGGACTCTGTCCTGATGTTGCAGTTTATATTCAAGTAGAAGAAAGTGACATTCTTGACCGTCTTTTTCCTCCACGTCTGAAAAAATGGAAAGAAAGACAGTATAAAAAAATGGAAAATAAAAAGAAACTGAAAGACCTGAAAGCAAAAATAAGGGTAAGTTTTCAGCCCTGTCTCCTTTTTTGTAATTTCAGTAGCACAGGTCTGAACACAGATTCTAAAACTCCCAAAGCAGTGAAGAGCACACAGAGAAATGGATATGGGAGCCAGGAGACACAGCCCCACACACTCACAGCATTCCTAGATTTACCATAGGAACCAAAAAGAATTTAGGGCTCCTTTCCTCTTCTGTGAAATTAATTCATGTAGGAGTTTAGATATCTCGCAGCCCAAGAAAAGTAGCTGTGCTGCCAGACAACTGGCAGTCTGACAGAATGCCAGACATCGGGAAAGTCCTGGACAAACGGCAAGTAGATGGAGAGAGTGAATATGGCCATAAAAAATCAAATACACAGCTCACACCGTACTGTTTTTGCATCCCGGACTCCCTGAGCATGTGCTCCTGAGTTGATCTGCATCTCCCATAGGCTGATTTCACAGGTACTGTATGGTGTACGTGTCTGTGTTTCCAACTATGATACTCTGCACAGAAATGTAATAGCACTAAGCCACGTTCTCAGTGCTGTTGCAGGTGCACAGCCTCCCATTTGAACAAAGCTGTGCCTACTGCTGAACAGGCTACAAGTTACTTGAAGTAACCTGAAACCTCTATGCAGACATTTACAATCAGCACATGCAATATATTCAAGGTTCCTAACTTTCTATAAAAGTGAGATAAAATACTGCACACGTACTATCAGAAAAGGTCTGAGCCTAAGTTACTACAGAGCAGCTGACACACAGGAAGTTAGTACAATGGAATTTGGGACAAGGCTCATAATACCAGTAATTTTTCTGAACTGCTTGTACCAGAGGTTGTCTCTGAGAATGCATATAATCTAGAAGAGTTAAAATATTTTCTCCATTTAGTCTTTCCTGATGCAAGCTGGAAATCTTGCTGGAAAAGGTGCATTCTAGTGACCAGCCTACAGTGCTGTACTAAGCTCACCCTGTAAGCAGTTACTCTGATAATTCAAGTGGCAAATACCCGTGCAACAGATCCTAGGGTCCAAGCTTCTAATCAACAGTGTAGGCATAAATACGGCTCCTGATGACAACGGAAAATAACAGGATCCTATTTAAAACACATACACAAAACAGCATTACAAATTGATAAAGGCATTAAGTAGGGAAAGATCAGAATCAGGATTTCCTGAGTAACAATAATCTGATATTTTTGCTCATATGTATTGCAATATAGTTTTTAGTTACACATTGAGTATTTTTCCATAGCATCCACTTGGTGGGTAAGTCGAATGGTGCTGTGAGAATGCAGCATTGCTGAGTGTACTGTTAACCGTTCTTTTGTTACTAAAGCTGGAGGACATACAGAGAGTCTGGGAAAAGCAGACAGACCAGTTGAATGCTACCCTAGAGTCTCCTTCTCCACTGAAAGAAGCTGGCAATAGGACACTGAGAGCAATGAGTACACCTGCAGCGCAGTGTCATTCAGAAACACCGGAGTTTAGTCACAAGAATAAAGAAAATTAGTCTGTACAGTGTTTCTTGCTGCTCTGCTTAGCATGCTCTGGTATCCAGGCCACTTCGCTTGCAGTTAACATGGATTTCTAAAATTGCCTGTGTGTCGACATACTCAGTTTCTCTGATCTCAGTTCAGGTGACAGCATTACAGTGTGCAAGAACAGCAATTACAGGTTGAATCCCCATCAACCCCACTGGTCTAAAGTAGAATGCTTCTGCATATTACTTCCAAGTTAGGATTTAGCCATCGGGTATTAGGCATGTATCTACTGAGTATGTATGGGGGACTGTATCTCAAATGCTTATAGCTTGTTCAAAATTGGACAGTTCCAAACAGGCATAGGGAACAGCACACATTTAATACTATACTCAGTCACCCCTTTGCCAAATGGCAGAAACCACCTATAAGTTTAGCAACTCTGTAGTTTACCAATAAAAATATTATAATATTTTCAGTGTGATCAGAATCAGCATCTTTTTTTCGCCCCTAATCTCAATCTCAGAAGTTGCTACATTAGTTTTACTAAAATTTACTTACATTCACCTAGTAGAGAGGTCTATCTGGTCTGCAAAATTTCAAGCTGCACAGATAGTATTTTTTAACATTAGAAGCAACTGGAAACAGAGTTTTAAGGTGGAAAGAACAACATTAATTTTAGGTCACATTACCAATTCTCAGAGAGCTTTTATTAGCAAATATCATTGTCTTACATCTTTTTTTCACTAACAGGATGAGAGGATTGCTAGAAGAAGGGAAGAACTTTTAGCAGGAAAAAAACAAAAGAAACAGGAGGTAAGAAAACAAGCTAATAAGAAAGATTTTAAATAGAAGTGTTTGCATTCGTATCTCAGAAATTTCTAGAGTTTTTAGTCACAGAGTTTTCAGGGCAATTTAGAACGGTAAAAATGTGATAGACTGTCAGAAACTTCTACTTTAAAAAAGAATTTGACATGATGTTTAAATTGTTTTAGAAACTATTGACTCACGAACACAAAAAACAATTTTAAAAGAATTCTTAACATGTGCTCCAATTCAGCAAAATATTTACAAATGTGTTTACTGTATCTAATTTGTAAGCATAAGAGTAGTCCCATTAATTGCAATTAGGCATGTGTTTTAAGTACCCTGTCAAATCCATGGTTAATCCAGAATAGGACTGTACCACAATTTCTGCCCAAATTCAATTACAAAGTATATTTATAAATGCATTAATGTACTCATGTGCATTAATACGCTTTCAGCTAACATGCTTGTTTATAACAAAGTCCTGCCAAGCTACAATACCATGTATGAAAAAAATACTCCTCTTATCAAAACTGCAGTGTAGCACTTCACTTTTTTAAGCACTCTTGGAACTGGTACAATGCTTCACTGTATGCACTATGCAATACCTCTGTATTTTCTTCTGAAATATGATTCTAGAATTTACCAGATTTTTGCTTACGATAAAGGATGCCCCAAAATGAGGTTTTGTTGAATTAATGATTTTTCTAATTAAAAAAGAGACAAGAATACCATATGTTCCCTCAAAACATCTGTATCATAGACATAAAATAACAAATATTTTACCTTTATAGGCTTTAGCAAATAAGGAGCATTATGAAGCCACTGAGGAGGAAGATGAGAATGAAAATGAAGATGTTGAAGCTATACTTGAAGAAGAGTTTTTAGAAGAAGAAGAAGAAGAGGGTGAAGAAGAACAGGAGATTGATGCTATTGACCGCATACAAAATGAAATTGCAGAAAAGTTTGATTCAGAAATAGACAGTTTACAAGGTGTACAGGTACCTATTCCACTGGTTATTTTGTTAAATTATATGATTGCATGATGCAAGAAAAGTTTTCAGGTTTATTTGTCAAATTTAAAAGTTAGAGTGCGTAAACAATCATGCTGCTGTACTCATGATCTAAATATGTGAGCAAGATGAAGGCTGTAGTAAGAAGGTATATACTTTAAAAAGTATATAATTTATAAGACTAATATTGTGGCGAAAAAAACAAAGGAAACTTTTGGGTAGACCTACCCAGTCTTGGGGTCCTTATTTCCTATTTGATAGGTCAGTTGATGCAGGCAACCAAACTAGAGGCAAAATTCTTACTAGACAACTCTAATTTTTTATACAGTTCTTAGTAACGCAATTTTCTTGAAATCAGTGCAATTACCTATGATGAGGTAACCTCATCTAACTTTAGATATCGGCAACGGTAATGCCCACGTCTAAGCCAGTAAGTAGATTGGTGCCGTTTGTTTACTATATACTAAGTATCTTACTTCAGGAGGAAACTAATCATGATTTAGAAGAAACTCTATCCACTGACCAGAGAGAAAGTTTACAGCAGTAGATAGCCAAGATATAGATGTAAGATTTGCAAAATTAATCCAACCTTTACCAACATCATAAGTGTGACTGATTCAAGGTTCACTATTTTAATAGTTAATGGGTTAAATGTCAGATGACTCAAGAATAAACTCCTAACATTCTTTGCACTACAAGGAAGCATAAGCTGTGTGGAAAAGATTAATGTTTTGTGCTCAGAGATTTGCCTTCCCATTAATTTTGGAAGAAGGTGAATTGAAAGTATATTCAACTTTCAAAAGTGACCATAAAATGTCATAATTTCATTGGACTGTTCAATGCATATAATCATGTATCCCAATGATAATCACAAAATTAATTTTAGGGGTTCCGAATGCAGCTTGTGGTTAATTTCACTTTTCTGAGTATAAACTGAATTTGCAAAGTAGAATTGGAAACAATTTAGGATAAGGCCCATGAGAGACAATAAACAAGAAATCCCAGTAACAGACTTAGCTCTTTATGTGAACAATAAAATGTTTCAAGTTAAAGCTAGTGGAATACTATAGTTCTTGGAGCATTTTCCTCTCTGTCATTTGGGAGCATATAATTTGTCACATTAGTAAACTGATGAAAAATTTGATCAAAAAAGGAACAGGCAATTAAAAGAGTCAGCAACTTTTGTTTCTCTCAAGAAGTATATAAATCTCAGCAACAAGAGAAGTGACTAGTGTTTTAGAATTCATTATTATATTGCGTTCTGCTTATGACACTAAGTGGAAAGATCCAAGACTGTGGATCTATATAGATATTGTATATAAGTTGAGGAATTACACAGAAGTAGTATCCTATAATAGAATTACATATTGGGACTAGATACTACTAATATCCCCTAGTTATAGCTTACTCAATATTTTTCCCATTATTTTTTTAATTCCAAGAACATTTATGCCTTTATAAATAACTTTAAATAACTTACCATTTCTGATTCATTATTCAAGACCCTACTGTTCTCTGATTCTTTAATTTTTGGTCTTCTTTGACATTGTGGAATCTTTGTCTTCTATGGAAAACTAAATGATGACATTAAAACGTGTAAAAGTATTAGGTTGCTAGAAAAAACTGTAGAAAATGGATTGGTTTTATATTTTAGTTGAATAAGCTGGGGAATAATAAGTCATCAGAGAGCAGCAATATTTTTAGAGAGTAACTAAATAAGCCATCCTAAATTGTCTGGAGTAGGGAATTTTATGATATTTGATTATTTTTTTAATAAAAGATACTTCTCAAGCTTTAGCTTTACCATAGTAGATTCCTTAAAGTTAATTGTCAGGTTGTCCTCCTTTTTTTTTTTTTTTTTTAATGGTGTGATACTTAATATAGGCTGGCTAATTTAAACTTCAGTTGGCAGGAAGACCAATTCTTATCTCAAATCAAATTTTGCTGATTTATGGTGACTGAGAACATGCTCAAGAAATCCTTGATAGTTCACAGAAAATCTTACTGTCAGTCATTATTAAAAATCTGATCATGTTTACAATTCTAATATTTCATTATGTTTTCATTTATCAGGAAGAACTTGAAAAATTGTTAATACCACAAATCAAGATCAATGGAGGACGGAAGCCTCACATCGTACGCTACCAAATATATAGCAAGCTGAATTCTCTAATGGAAAATCGTGGAAGCATTTTTGAGAAATGTTACCCAATAAGTTTGCCACTTGCACATAAGATGCTAGTTTTCTCATACAAATTTCCAAGTTCTTTTGGTCAGTGGGATCCAATCAAGGTAATGTTCTTAAATAGCTGAAGAATATTTTCAAGAAGTAATACTTTTTAGAATATATTTCACATGAAAAAATATTATCAGACAGTAGCAACTAATACCAGAAATATTTAATGAAAACTACATTACTGAATCAAAACTGCACCACTGAATATATACAAAATACAGCAAGCATTGATAATAAAAGGTGTTAGTCTTTTCAGTGTTGCAGCTAAATTAAGGCTGAGAGGCATTTAGTAAAATCTGTTACATTAGCATTGGCAACATGATGAAAGGTGGCACTGAATCAGAAAGCAATGCCTAATTCTTAATGATACACAAAACACAGGACAACAGAGAAGGTCTTAAAGCCTTCCAGAAGCAGTGAAAACAAACTGAAAGGATTTGGAGTTTGAATTTGTAAGAAGCCACACAGGTGGCTACCAACCCTAGCAGCGGCAAAAAAGCAAACCAATAAATGTTCAGTGTATGTAATTCATCAGCAATAGTTCTTTGTTGTCAAAATTTACAAATTTTGAAGAGCAACAAATCTAATTCTGTAATATTTGACTAGGGAGCTGGAAAGTCGAGGTCAGAAAGTACTCATGTCTGTCCCCAAAAGTGGGCTGGGACAGTTTTATAGGTAGCAAGTGAAAGGTTAGTGGGTAAATTTTTGGTTTTAATGCTAAAAATAAAAGCAGGTTGGATTGTGAGTAAATCAGAAATAAAAAGGAGGACTGATTAAAAAAAAACAGTGAACAAGATATAGAAAACAGGAAGTTCCTGAAGGAAGCATACTTTGGCCTTCATTTCACTCTGCTACTTAATCAAGTAACTTTTATTCCGTATTGCATAGTCATCATATTGAGTCTTTACCTGTTCCAGATCACGTTTATCTTTCTTTAACCTTGGCAATCAGAATTGTGTACAGATCAGCTCTTATTACAGCTTTATATAATCAAAATACTTAAAATGTTTTACCATCAGAATTGCCTTTTCCATGGCTGCATCAAATTGGCATCTAATAATCTAGGGACATATTAATAGAGGTAGATATTTCTTCTCTTCTGTCATTTCCAATTACTGAACCTCCCTACACGCTAGACCTTGCACTTTGTTCTATTAGATTTAACTACATTTTTGTCATTCCATTTCTCCATTCTTTCATTTATGCTGTATAGTGCTTTTTTACCAATGAAAAAGTACAATTCAGTTAGAAGAAAGAAGTTACAGAAAGCTATTAGATAAAATGAGAGTGGTGTGCTGACAGTGGAAATGTACGTGCTGACAATAATGAAAGGGAAATAGGATCATTTTGAGGGTATTTTAGGATATAATAGAAACGATGACATTGATTACGGACCGGAGGTATTTTGTAGAAAGGCAGATAGAGTGTATGCCAATTACTTTTAGATTAAACTTGAGGGGGAGGGAAGTAGTTATGCAACTGATTAGATAAGCAGAGAATAAAAATGATAGCTGAGGGAGGAATGGGAGCAGATATACAGTAGAACAGACTCCTGACATCTTATAAATGAGGGCAAGCACCCTGAAATGACTTGATGCAGGAATAGGAACCTAAGAATCAGAGAAGGGTCTGGCAAGGTAATGCCACACAGTAGAACAGTCCCATCTCCTACTGTAACAACCAGATCAACTTATCTGTATGTTTACTGACTCCTTCAAAGAATACGAATAGATTTGTGAGGCACGATTTCCCTCTACAAGAAGCTGAGTTGGCTCTTCCCCATTATTTCATATGTATGCCTGTAACTACTGGGTTTTTTCCTTAATATATTTCAATTTGCTCAATACAGGGTCAGATTTACTGGACTATGTTTGCCAGGATCCATCCTCAAGGCCTTTTCAAAAAATGATCACTTTCTCCACTTTCCTTTTTTGTGGAAGGAAGGCCAACGTAAGCAATAGGTTACACATTAGTCAGTAACAATTTCACTTCTGACTCCCTTTAGAACTGTAAGGTGAATGCCATCTGGTCCGGGCAATTTTTTCTACAGATGTCAACAGTTTGTTCTAAAGCATCTTTTATTGACACTTTAAGGCAGTTCCTCCAAGAAGGGCTGCAACAGGGACATGAATAAGTTCTTCCATAGTGAACAGTGGTGCAAAGAATTCATTTAGCATTTCTCCAATGGCCATTTCTGCCATTAGTGCTCCTCTTATGTCTCAATCATCCATCAACACTACAGACTTTCTATTGGGCTGCCTGATGACGGAAAGACGTCATCAGCAGTGTATGTATTTTACCAAAAGCTTTTTTGGCTTGCCTTGTTGTGGTTTTACACTTCACGGTAATGTAAGTATTGATATTCTTTTCTGTTTTCTTCATTTGTACATGAATTCTGCTAAATACAGTATTCTCAGTGTATCTTCTACTGTCAGGCAGATAAGTGGTTTTAGTTCACAGAGGAATAAAATTATTTTCTTTATTCTTTGAAAATTAAAAAAGTATAATACCTCTCTGACTGCGCTCTCTTGATGGACAGAAAGTGTTACGGTACCACCTACTGGAAATAGTGAATATTCTTTGTCTTCAAGGTTTACTTCATCTTTTTGTACAAGAATTGCATACATATGGAAGTTCCTCAGATTCGGACAAAATATTATGTCCATATGTATGAATTTTAGAATGCCTTGATGGTTTGTTTCATACAGTTGATGCTTCTCTACCTGCCTATAAAGCCACTTCTGTAGGACGGAGGGAGAGGAGGCTTTGTCAAACCTAATCAACTGCTTCCCATTTTGTATATGCTACAGCTAAGTGAAGGAGATGTAATCAAGCCACAACAAAGCCATGAAAACACAGTCTTTCCTGTAATCCATCGACAATATATTTATTTCTTTTCAAGTAAAGAAAATAAAGAAACATTTATGAAAAATCCCATCAAATATATTCGTCAGCCAAAACCTAAACCAGCTGTGCCAGTTAAGATTGCAATTGTGGGACCTCCAAAATCTGGAAAGACTACAGGTAGGAGCCAGTATTGGCTATAAAGCAAAGCCTTATTTAATGACTGAAGCTGTATTTGTCATTACCGTTATTAAAAAATCATAAACCAGTAGTATTGTTGGTCTTCCTGCTTTTCTTGCTGGGCATAGAACCTTTTGGTTACATTTTCTAGTGTCTCATTTGACAGTCAGATACGTATACACTGTCCATCTGAATTTTATCCCAGCTTCTTAAGAAGTTAGTGACCTGGACTGGCACTTAGAAAATCCAGACTTACACTATTTATACCACTTGTATTATTTCTGATTATTTTCTAATTGCTTCTTATTTCTTTCCATCAATATGATCTAATGTAAAATGAAGAAATATTCCTAGGATCAAGGACCAAAACCCAAAACTCCACATTGCCCAGTCTGTTCTAGATTAAAATAAAACAGATTTCCATCTTTCTCCCCTCTCCTTGTTCCTCCATGACTCTTTCAATCCACAGGTCTCTGCCTTTAACTGGAGGAGGAGAAAATTCAGCTTACACCATAGCTTAATTAGAATAGGGTGTCGGAAAAAGAAGAGACGGGTTCAAATTATCTCATATTAAGGAGGAAATTTTAACCATATTTCCCATTTCGTGGATAAATGATCTAACTGCTAGGCTGTTCTGTAAAAGGGGCAGCAGTGGAAGCATATTTTCTAAGATATTTTGTAATAATATTGACTATTGCTGCTGAGGTTTGTGCTGAATTGAACACTGTTAGTGCACTGGGCATGCTCTCCAAATATGCAAAGGTTTGGGTCCTTTAGGGGCCTAAGCAGGGTTCGGTACCCACTTACCAAGATTATGCATTGGAAATGACGCAGGGAATGAGCTGAGCAGTTAGCTTCGAAGACTAAGGACATACTGTAACAGACTGCTGGGTTGTGAAGTTGCTTACATAAAAGTTGTGTGTTGAAATCAAAATGTTTTGCAGTTGCCAAGAAATTTGCAAGTGTATATGGGTTACTGCGCCTGAGTATGGGAGATGCCATACGGCTAGTGTTAAACAATCAGCCAGAGACTGAGTTGGCACTTACGTTGAAGTGGCATCTTCACAAAGGACTGACGGTTCCTGATGAACTGGCCATCCAGGCTCTAGATGTGGCTCTGATGAATCACGTGTGTAATACTACCGGGTAAGAGCCTTGTTTGGGTTCTGGGTTTTTTTCAAGACACGCCAGGCAGTGACTCCCATGTTATCACTGTAAAACAATTCCACTAAAACACATCACTGCTTTATGCGTTAAGAAAATAATACGTACAAAATGAGGTTCTTCATATTACTCTGGGAAACCAGACTGAAGCATAATTTTCTGCAATTTTCAAGTATATTCCAGTAAATCCAAGTAATATGCTTTATGAAAGTTACCTTTTTTCAGTCAATAAGACAATATTTTCTATTATCCTTTGAGAACTACCATTTTATCTCTCTTATACCAACTCTAGTACCAACTTGGACACATCTGATTCTCTTTGGTCATGCAGACTAATTCAGTACTCAAGGCTTTTTGTGGTTTTGTTAACAACTGAAGTTATTAAGGAGGAACTGAAACCAATGAGTCTTTCCACCTCATTCATATGTGTTCCGGATTTCCTAGGCTTTTTCTCCGCCACTGAAACACCTTCCAAACTGGGCAGACTTAAAAAGCTTCATGATCATGATTGCATGACATTCAACTCCTCTCCCCAAAAAGGAGAACTGTTACGGGGAAAGGCAATTCTGGAATTATGTCTGAAAATTATTTGAGCTTGAGATCTAAATTCTTTCACCTTTTCTTTCATATTAAATACTGGAATATTTTTTCAGTATATTTTGCCCCAGTATTGCCTAATAGGTGAAAAGCATTTCTTCTTCAATATGATTAAAAAAACTCTTCAAATACTATAAATCATTTTACTTTTCACTTTGAAAACTACTCCTGCCCATCCATATGAAGATTTCCCATAGTTAAAATTATGTTTCTGAATGACTGATGTGTCAGAATTTTGAAGTCCACCATTTTTATAAGTCAGAGCCATCCACTTCCATTCCTATACCTTTTGCCCTTTGTGTATTTCCTTTACTCTTTACTATTTCTTATTCTATCTATATCTACTTCATTTTTTTTTAAATTTGATTGTAAATTCTTAGGAGTGAAGACTGTGTCCATCAAGTCAGGGCAGTGATAACTTCGTAGCATGGGTGTAGACTTCTGTCTCTATTGAGAATGTACTAGGAATATACACAGTCTGAATGGTTAATTAGAAACTGACTTCTTAGGAAAACTGTCTTTCTGTTTCTGTTTGTATGCAGAGTTGTAATTGATGGATATCCTGTAACAAGAAAACAAGTAAACCTCTTGGAATCAGCTAGGATCATTCCAGTGAAAATCTTTGAATTAGAAATGGATGCAAAGGAAGTGTTCAGAAGAGCACTGCTGGATAAGGAAAGCACGAATAGGTAATGATGCTCCCTGATAGCAATATTTTTATCCACACGATATTGTCATTTCTCTATTTATGTGCCTCAGTGCTATACCCAGAGAGGCTGTACCTAAGCTAAGCTGGTGCGTAACCCAGCTGTCTCCGAACTCCACATATGAAAAGACACGGGCGCCAGTCCCTCTATATTCAAATGCTTTGATTTCCACAGACCAGAAACGGAGACGTAAGGAATTTGTGGCGTGCTCTGGCCAGATCCCCTGATTGCATGACTGAGGTCACAGATGTGCAATGCTGTGCACCCACTGCTGAGTTAAATTGGTTTTAATGAAACTGCACATCAGAAATGTTACTAGTTCACTCTACTGCTGAAGTTTATGATTCATCAGTTCAATTATTATCATCATAAGGGAAATTGATACTTCATCTAATAAGCTCTCTTTTAAGTCGTAATTGGAGTTCTTTTTAAATATGGAAATAATGTATATTTTAATAACGTATACAATTCATGAGTTACTCATCTAAACCTTCCAATTCAGCTTGCTCCCTTCTTCTTTGTTTTTCTAAGGAGATAAATATTCTGTTTAAAGAGCTGTTGGTTGTTTTTGAGGAAGAGCAGTAAGTAGTTTATAAATGGACAGAGAATTAAAAAGAACAGAACATTCATCTTAAAATTAAATTGTACAAGAACCTGGTTCTCATTAGACAAAGTGTTTCTAAGAAGTTCCAGATAGCTTAGAGCATTATTGCATGTCTCTTTCATTTTGTCTTTCTTTTTATCCAGTAATCAGTACAATGCTTAATTGTTTACTGAAAGCCTAAAGACAATTTGCACTGCAAAAAATTACATTAATGCTATCTTCTTGAAAGTATTTACTTTTCACTTTAAATACCAAACTAATTACATTTCATAGGTTTAAATACAAATCAAATGTGCAATATCAGATATTTCTGAAAAGTACAACTTATAGAGAAATTAATCCTATTAAAACAGCAGTTTATCTTTTTTTGGCATCATTTAAATTAACAGCCCAAACAGGAAACGCTTCTATGTTCTAGTCAAAATACCCCTTCTGGTCTTGCATAATATTTTTAGAGGTTAGATGGATTATTTTCATTTATGTATATGTAAATATGACAGTTTTCAAAATATATCCAAGGATTATGGCTACTTCTTGATTTCAGACAACAGCATAATTCAAAATTAAGCCTATTTTTCAACAAACAATTGACTTCCATTTTAAAAGTCTCATAGCATTTTGTCTAGGGTACCATTTAATGGTGTATTGGTAGTGTGTGTCAGTTAGTGTGTGCTGATACACCCCAAATCCTTTACAAAATTATTGAGTTGTATTTGGGAAACAAATAGCAAAAGTTTTGTTCCTTGTTTCGGAACATAACTGCCTGATCAGAAGTATGCCGCTTTTCATATGTAACTGGTAATATTCTTAATAAGAATACTTTCTTATTAAGAGTATTACCAGTATTTCTCAAATATGTTCTATAGTGTCAAATAAGCAGAATTTTGTAAGAAGGACTTGAAGTGAACTCTGGAATTTACACCTGAAATTCAATGAAATTATCTAATCTTCAGACTTAAATTGGTCTTATTTTTCATTGTCTTCAGACTTCCCTACCCTGAACATGACAGCTCACAGATTCTAGCTATTAAAAATTCCTGCTATAAACAGCACATTGATGCAATTAGGACTTACTATATGAAGGAGCATCAGAACTGGTGTGTGATTGATGCCTTTCAGAGCAAGTGGTGGATCTGGAACAAAGTACTGCAGGAAGTTCAAGTGGTTGTTAAAGAAATCCAGATATACCTGGAAAGAGTAAGAGAAGGTAAAAGAAAAACAAAGTTTCTCAGAATAATATTAATTTCTTTAAGAAGCTGCAGTGTAATGAGTACATTTCAACTTGCTTTGTCTTGGGCACATACAAATTCTTCGATCTCATCTGCAGAGATCTTGAAGAGATCTCTTGAAGAGAGCAAAGACAAAACCAACTACAGGACAGTCTGAGGCGATCCTCCAAAGAACAGGGTAACAGAATACAGCTGGAACAAGTCAGAGATCTCATGGTCCATGGCAGATTCCTCAACATTGGGTGATAAATCACAAAGGATACCCCAAAGTATACAAGGGGAACTACGACTTGCAGCTTCACCGAAGTGTCAGTGGAGGAAGAGGAAAGGAGGGGGAAAATGTTAATTATAAGTTCAGAATTAAGGTTAAATATGCCATCTGAGTTAATTTCTGTGCTGTGGGAGGAAAACCACTTTAGTCTAAAATGACAGTTCCCACTTGAATTTTTGTCTGTCAGCACTGGTCAGGATTAAATATGCCCTTTAAACATGCCTGTACAGTTTAACTAGAATTCCTCTGAAGGGCAAACAGACTTCCTTATCTTATATCCACCTTCTGGTTTTAACTTTTACAGCTCTGTGGCTGCACCCTTCTTAAAAATTGCAGTCATAAGCCAAAACAAATTTAAAATACATTTAACTTTTTCACATCAAGCTTGAAAAGCACAATTTTTAAATAGTTTGGGTTTTATATGACATTTTATTCAAGATTTTGACTGTATTTCATCCAGATGAGACTGTAGCATTTGCAAGACCTGGATGAATAAAACGGAGGCTTTCTTCACACCTTGTACTCTTTTTCACCAATGGAAAGAAATAAAATAATGGTGGAAATGTTCCTTAGCAACACAAAGGATTAAAACAATAAATCATAAATAAAAGTGTCCCAGGGAAAACAGACTAATAAGCTAAGTATGCAGAGTATCCCACATCATTAATAATTATTATATTTCTTAAGTGCTAGAAAAATGTTATTAAAATTAATTGGGAAAATGGGTTGCAACTTCATTTTAGTATTAATCTATAAAAACTGCTATTTTAATTCTCATTATTTCATATCATTTTCACATGATGAATTATAATATCTTCTAAACTTACATTTCTGAATAGAAATGTTTGATGTTTCTATGTCTTTCATTAATAAAACATTAATTGCTTTTATTAACAGGAAAAGCAGCCGGCATTGCTGATTTATGTATCACTCCCGAAGAGCTGCAGTATCGGCTGGGGGAGTTTGGACAGTACTGTCCCGTCAGCCTTGCAGAAAAGGGTGAATTGGTTGACTGCTCTGCAACGTCGTCATTGCAGTTTGCTGCAGAATTTCGAGGACACTATTACAAAATGGCTTCACAGGAAGAACTGGACGTAAGTGTCAGACAGCAGGTCAGGAGGGGATTACCGGAAGAGGGAACATTGTTGCTTAGATTCTTTGATTCCATACAGAAACAAGCAATACGTAATCTGAATTAGACTAGTGTTGTTAGTATTGAAGCTTTTGTTCTGTATACTTCTGCTATCAAACGTCTAGGCAGACAAAATGCAGCACAATTCATTCAAACCAAAGCTCCTCTTACAAATTGTCACAGATCAAAACATTCATTTTAAAACAACCATTTCCTCCTTTCTCCATCTGTTTTTGGGAGACTGGGGGTATAGAGTGGCTAATGATAGCAATGGATAGTGATGGATGGTGGACGGATAGTGATGACTTCAACTGAGAGTGGGTTGGAAAAGAAATTACTTACCCAAGAGCAGCAGCAGGGCCAACACACTAGGAGAGGTGCTGTAGAAGAAACAAGTATCTAAATTGTGTGGGCCAGTCCTCTGGAGTTTGACTAACGGTCTTACAGTGCTTCTTTCATTACAAAAACATTTAATTCATTTTTCTACAGAAATTCTTGAGCAGACCAGAGGTTTATGTGCCACCACTGGCACCTCACACTCTCCCATCCCCAGATATGCTACCAAAGAAACTGACTGCAGCAGAAGTGAAGGCCTTATTCCCTGCAAGTGCTGAAATGCAGGGATACTGTCCAGTCACTTACCTAGATGGAAAACAGAGGTACATCACTCCAGTTTTCATAACCTGAATTACAGACTATGTGTCCTATATTAACACATTAATGAGGAAATACTTTCAAAGTACTTTTTAATAGTGTTCAGGGTTTGGACAGGAAAAGCAACTACACTTCTATATATTGTGCCTGTGGCTTTGGAAATCAATGTAAAATCACCTTTTGAAACTCATATGCCTACAGGTTCTACAAGGATCTATGTTGGCTTACTGTCTTTTGTGATGAAGACTGCTTGGATATAGTTTGAGTTTTCTCTATCATAAGCCTTCCAAAGTTCAAACAAATCTCACAAAACCTTAGTAGATGCAAAACTAGCTAGTACAATTTTTATAAGAGATCCAAAAAGCTCCACCATAAAGTCCCACTGATTTCCTCAGCATGCAGGAATTTCTCACCAAGGTAGAACCGTAATAGTCAAGTCTATGCTGTCCCTTCATGATCTCCTGAACAGCTACAATTGGCATTTTGACTAGAGCTCTAAAGAAGCACTATAAAAGCCCCTTAATAAGCAGATTTTGAGGCAGAGACTCTCTCTGATTTTGAGCCTTGTAACTGTCAGTCATGCGGTGGAAACTTGGATGATCCAATTGCTACGTTTTTGTAGTTCCTATACTTGCTAAATTACCAGAAGGCTCACAGTAGCTCATGAATTTACACTGCACAAATGTTTCACATTTCTTGTGAATTACTAGTCTGTCTTGCTCCGTCTCTTCAGGTATGAAGCGTTGGTGCCTGGCAACATAGAGTATGCAGCAAAATATCACAATAAGGTATATATTTTTGAAAGTGAAGAAAAACTGCTGAAGTTTATGAGGTGAATATACTAACTGCATTTTAACCTTTAATCATGTCAAGGTTTATACATCTTAAAAGTGCTTACTTTTATCTGGTTAGATTACCAGAGAAGTACTGGAACCTGAAGCTTCCACGTAAACTCCCTCCAATAAAGGAGCCAAAACTACTCACTGCACTTCCTTTGGCTGGATACCTTGAACAGGCCAGTTCTTGCTTTTCTATTTTACCATATGATTTTGCAGTGCATAGTATATCCCACCCAGTTTATTTCATTTTTAATGCAATATGAGTCTTATGTTTATTAATGGGGATTATATTAAATTGAAAATTGTGTACTTGCAATTGAGAGGAATTTTTTTAAAGCTTTAAAATAATAGATGTTGTAGCTTTAGTGGAAAAAATACAGGTAAGACCATCAGAGGGGAACTGCGATATTATTTGATGGATTTTCTGACTCTTTTGTTTATTGTATCTTGTAAGATTACATTTTGCTTTGATTTTTAACACCAGGATAGACACAAGTCTATCTGGAATCATTTAAGGATAGTTGGTTACATTCTGAGACATGAATATGAAATAAAAAAATGATTCATGGTCACTTCCTTCCCCATTTTATACTATTTTTTATCCTCTACAATTCACCAACTTAGGTATCATCCTATATTGTTAGATTTGCATGACAACAGGATCAGGCTTTGAATATATTTTTGTTCTAGATTTCTGTAATGGTCTTCTAAAACTGTTTTCTTTCTTTAGGGAGTAGCAACTTCTCTAATAAAAGCTCTGAATGAAGTAGGCTGCTTGAAGCCAAAGTTTCCATTCCTAAGTGTAAAAAAAACTGCTCTGCTGTTTGTCGCCTGCCATTTAAAAGGTAGCGTATAAAATACTACACTATAAAAATAATGAATTATATAAATGCAGTAAATCACCTGATACAACATTGATAACCAATGTGTATAGTTTTCTTATGTCCAACTTGGAAAAACACTACTATATACTGATTTAAGTACACACTGCCAAGTTTCTTGGAAATGTGTAAGGACCAGGGAGGAAAATAAGGTTAATAGGATAGGTAGATAGGTAAGTGATCTCTCACAAATCATGAGACTTTAAAGACATTTTATCACCAACAACCTGATGGCCCTGAAAACATTTCTAACATGCATTACTGGAGTTTTTAAACAGAGAGTAAAATGTTATAATCTAGGTGGTACTACATTTTAAACTAGTCATAGACAACCTGAATTGTCTTAAAAAATGACTAAAATTACTGTAATGAAAAGCTGATGAAATACTATCTGAGGAATGGTTTAGGTGCCTGAATGCTTGCCTTTATTCAACTGTATCAGGTGGTCAAATGAAACTTAACAAACCTGAAGACAACTTTCTGATCATACGCATCTCCAACAACACATCAGCTAAATATGTAAATAAGAGGTCTAATTGTACTGAAAAACAGCTTAAGTGCACATAGAACACCTGTCATTTTCAAAAAAAGCCCTTCTTTTGCATGTGTTTACTACCAACACACCAAGTTACACAGTACGAAAGAACAGATACCCATGCAGATTTAAATAGATTTTTAAGTTTTTAGCACAGAGAAATTAATGTTATTTATCAGCCTGCTTATTTGTGAAATTATCTGGGAAGGTGTGAATATTAATGTCGTTCAGAGTATCAGTACGTTGATTATTTTTAACTTCTTTTTTTATTTAATCGAGAGTCCAGTCAACCACCTTACTTTTCCATAACAAACAGTCCAAAATTAAAATGAAGTGGTTTGTACTCAGCCCACAAAATAATGAAGTAAAACATCTCATGGAGCTACCAGAGGTTAGGATTCCTCCTTCACTGAGGAAAGTTGCTCAGTCTTTGTCTCCTATGTTCATATTTGGTATTTTTTAGAATTTTTGTTTGGTTGTTTTTTTGCCATCCAAGGTAGCAGTTACAGCTAATAATCTTTAATAGTTTGCAATCAGCCTAAATAGTGCCAGCTTTCAGGATTTCAACAACCTAGTTTGCAGCTCTGCTGCAGATCTCTTTGGTCTGGTTTCCAGTCCTGCTGGAGATTTCTGGAGCAAGACTGACGCTTCTTCAACCCCAAAAGGTTTTGCCTTTTGTAAGCCAACCTGTTCAGTGGGTGAACTTTACCTTGCCTTTTGTCATTTAGAATTTTTACTTATTCTTTTAGATAATGGCAATCTTTATTATTTGTCTAAAGTTCCTCACACGCTGTCTTTCCTCATGCAGTTTCCAGAGCCCTCCGGAATTTTCCTAGACTACCACAGATTTTTGCTAGCATGGCTTTGTTAAGGAAGACCACTGAACAGTGTATGCATACGATAAGCCCCTGTATAAAGGAACAGTTCTTAAGCCAGCAAAACTGCCTTTATACTGTAGTTTGTTTCATCCACAAAGACTGATTTCGTTCTATTGCTAGCACAGCTTTGCTAACATAACAGTGTCCAGGCTAGGAATGCTTTGCTCATATATTGCATCATTAAATCATTATCAGCACTGGATGATGAAATGGAAAGGTTATGCAAGTGCACAAATCTCTTCTCCTCGTGCAGTGACAAACAGTCTGACCACAGGAAAACAAGTTATCTTCTTCTAATGCTGGGTAGAACTGCTTCCAACTTTAAGATACAGCACTCTAGTACACTGAAAAATCTCCTTGGCAAATACAGCATCATTTAGTATGGTGTTCTCTTCAGAGTAGTCACACCGTCCTTGATCAAAAACTTCATCAAAGTGCTTCACATTGCTGTCCCTTGGAAATTTTTTACATCTTATTTCTATCTGACGTAAGGCTTTCTCATCTTCAACTTATGTCACTCTCCAATCTCACATTTAAATAGGGAACAAGAAAAGAGTGGTTTAGTTGCTCCTGCAGCTTTTCTAACAATACTGGACTGCTTTCAGTACCCAAGAAGAGAAGGTACAGGCGATCAATCATAAATACAGGAAGATTTACTCCTGGAAAAAAAAAAAAAAAAGAGTAGGAAACCATACATCACTAGAGTGATTTAGTGCCCTTCAAGCTTGACTCCTGTAAGAGCTCTACGTACAGCTATGCTTGAAAAATCACTCAGAAGCTGTTAAATGCAGTTGTCTACAATTTAAAGCTAGTGGGCTGAAGTGTCTCATAGCCCAGTTCTTCATGCTGTCCAGTTTTCGTAATGAGATACAAAGTACCACTTACAGGAAAAAAATGGTTATGATTTGGCTGTCTTAAATCACTCCTTCCCCTTTGCCTCAGTGTAACAATTAAAATAATAAAGAATACTCTGAGGGCTGGCACTCAGTACTAACGTATGCCAAAATATGGCTTAGGGGAGAGAGGTAAGAACGAAAAGAAATACTATCTTCATTGTAAAGTTCTCGGCCTTGACGTTTCCCTCCTCCTCTGAAGTACCAGTCAGCTCTTGTTTTTTTTATGGGCGAAGCATTTAGGTCACGAACAGTTGTGCGAAGGCCGCAGCGGCCCCGTGCCAGCCGCGCCGCGCCCGGGCTGTCCCCGCGCAGCGCCATTTCGGGGTCTGCCGCCGCCTTAGCCAGATCTGCCCCTGCCTCGCCGATCCCCAGCCCCTCACGGCCCCAGGAAGGGGACGCTGATGGCAGCCGAGCACAGGTCTGTTGTTTGTTGGCAAAAGCCTCGATCCTTCTCAATATCATTACCCTTTTGGAGTTAGCAACTTCCGAAACACCAGACTTGATTTTTCTGTTGGTTTGGCGTCAACGGGCACGGCCCAGGGCAGTTCTACCCGTACCACGGATAAAAACATCAGGTGTAGCCGTGAGCCCTTTTAAAATGTCTGTAACGCCACCCCACGAAGCGAACAGGGGACACTAAGGCACCGCTTCCCTTCTTGCAGCGCACAACCCCCGGAGCCCGGAGCCGGCGCGGCAGAGGCACCGGCGGAGGCTGGCGCGGTTCACGGAGCACTGCCAGCTCCTCCCCTACCTGC